AGCTACAGCTCCGTTCTTCCCTTAACTCTCTCTCTCTCTCTCTCTCTCTCTCTCTCTCTCAAATGATGAAAGTTATTGTTTAATCTCTGATAAAATGGTTTATTATCCATATAATTTCAGACAAGAATGACAAACAATTGAATGATGTTGAAACCATAGAAACATCCAACCACAGGGAAGATCATTGTATCCATGTTTCTGGTGTCCTCATGTCACCAGAAGTATATGGTCCAATAGGCCAAGTTGCAGCTCAGATCTCAAGAACAAGGTGAATTATGACAGCCATTGGACTCGTGTTTTGAAGCTACAACACATGATGATGACTGACTGCTTTCCTCCTAAAATCTTGCCTCCAGTTCTTCTCATCCTTTGTCTGCTGAAACCATGCCATCAAGCTTGCAATGGAAGTGATCCAATGAGCTCCATCTCACCTTCTCATCATACTGTTGTGCTTTGGGTTACTTAACCCTAATCCCTACAATGTCTCTTTATAGATAATATGTTTGAGTTACAAAGAAATCAAATAGGTATTAGTCAAAGACTATATATGCATCCTTTTGATGTTAATAATTTGCCTATTTGCCTCTCTAATTTAAGTTTTATATATATATATATAATACTAAATTTTATTATATATATATTTTTGCTTCCTTCTATAATCATTAACAGCAGCGAGATATTGGAACACATCACAAAGATACGAGACTGAAGTCAACGGCAGTTCTGCAGCATCCGCCTCGGGTCAACGTCACGCGTTCCGAGGTTTAAACTTGCCTCCCGTTTTTGCCGCCCACCAAGTGGTTGATCCTATGACAGCTCATGCACAACCCCTCCTCCCCCCCTCTCCCTATATCTTATCCCACTCTCAGACCTCGTTACACAGTTCCAATGGCGCTGTAGAACTCTCTATCTTGCCCCTCTCCCTTTATTCAACAAGCTCAGCACAATGGAAGCCTCCATCTGGCTTCTCCTCTGTCTCTGCTTGTCTTGCCACTCTTGGTGGGTCGCAGGTGATGATCCTTACAGGTTCTTCACTTGGAGTGTCATCTATGGCGACATCTATCCCCTTGGAGTCAAGCAACAGGTTCTTTTGTCCCTTTGTCTCTTTTCCTTTACCCCTTTTGTGCCTCTTTTGTTGGGTTTTGAGGGACTAACTTCTTTGTTTCTTCGTCGATGCAGGGGATACTGATCGATGGGCAGTTCCCAGGGCCACAGATCGAGGCAGTGACCAACGACAACCTTATCGTAAATGTCTTCAATAACTTGACCGAACCCTTCCTCATCTCCTGGTCTGTATTGTTTCCATTTCCCACTCTTCTTATCGAAAAAGATTTTGTCTTCGCAAGGAAATGTTTCATCTTTCTACTGTTCCTCTGATTTTTATTCCAAGAACATGCCCTTCTCATGCTTACTTCGTTGTCACACAGCAGATCTAATGTTCCATTCCATGCGATGAGACATGTACCTCGAATTGCTAGAGAAACTTTTAGACGAGCCTAATTCTTGGATCTGGTCGGTTTGCAGAGTGATGGGTCTTTAAGAGTTCTTAAAGCAAAAGAGACTCACCCACTCGTGTCGCTTCTTTCTTACTGGCAGCAGTGCACATGGTAAAGTACAAAAGGAACTCGAGGTGGTCATCCTCTGAGCCTGGCAGCAATTTGCATTCGCTAAGTAACGACACCTAAATCGGATGTCATCAGTGTGGGCTACCATCTGTTGGCATAATGTTCTCTGAATGGTACAGTGAGCTGGAAATAGGATGACAAGTTTCAGGAGGGATATCAATCTGATACCTTTTGGCTTTGATTCTTATGCTTAGCTTCTAAGTTTAGTTTCCTTTTCTTTTCGGGGGGTACACTTTAGATCTTTAGAAGAGTTCTTTATGTGTAGGCTTTTATTTGAGGTGCTTTAGAGCTTACAATCATGTGAATAAGATGATGAAAATATCAAGAATGTCATCGTTACTGCATGACAAAATTCATTTGATGATCTTTAATCATGTTGGATGGATGGAAAAGAGATGATTGGATAATTGGATCATTGATCAATCTACTAAGTAGTACGAGGATTTCATCTTATGCAACCTGTTTTCTTTTCATATTTGTCAGATTCTTTGTCATGCATTATCTCATCATCTTCAAAACCATGTCTTTATATCTTGAGGACATTTTTTCATCCAGTGCAACCTCTTTGGTAGTTCCAGATGCAAGGTTCTTGAGAGCTCACCTGATCCAATCTCTTATGCTTCTTGCTTTGGCATCTTGCATTGGAACATCGAATATCTGTATGCTGATATTTCCATTCTTCACTCTGAAATGTCAAATGAGAAAATTTGCTGATTGTTTGTGCAGGAACGGGATACAACAAAGGAAGAACTCATGGGAAGATGGAGTTTATGGTACAAACTGCCCAATCCTTCCTGGACAGAACTATACATATGTGATGCAAGTAAAGGATCAGATTGGAAGCTACTTTTACTTCCCCACTCTCGACTTCCACAAGGCTGCTGGAGGCTTTGGTGGCATCAGAGTACTGAGTCGTCCACTAATCCCTGTGCCGTACCCTCCACCAGCCGGGGATTTCACTTTACTCACCGGCGATTGGTTCAAGACCAATCACACTGTAAGATTGAATCTAACTTAGAATATCCATGCTCTGATTGCCAGAAAAACTATGAATTTTGAGTGTGTATTAGAGTTGCAACTTTTGTCAAGATCATTTGTTTTGCCTGGCTCATTAATGTTCTGGTTCTTGGTCTTTCGATTGCTCTAATGCTTTCCACCATTCTGTCTGCCTTGAAATCCTTGATGAGCATTTTGTTTTCATTTGATTTGTTGGCTTCAACTTAATCTTCATCAGAGCAAAACATATTTTGCTTGCAGGACTTGAAAGCTATAGTAGACAGTGGGAATGATCTTCCTTTCCCTGATGGGCTGCTCATCAATGGCCAAGGTGCAAATGGTTATGCATTCACAGTTGATCAAGGTAATTCTCATGTTCTTGTCTTCCTATGATGTCTTCTTATTATCCAAAGCATACACTGAAACCAAAAACTTGTTAGCTGCATGATGCAGTAGGATAACTTACTGAATTCCTTGTTGCAGGCAAAACTTACAGGTTCAGAATCTCTAATGTCGGGTTGTTGACATCAGTCAACATAAGATTTCAGGGACACACAATGAAACTGGTTGAGATTGAAGGCTCGCATACAGTCCAAAACACTTACTCATCTCTCGACATTCATCTTGGCCAGTCTTGCTCGGTTCTTGTCACAGCCGACCAACCTGCACAGGACTACTTCATTGTGGTATCGACCCGATTCACAGACCCAATCCTTACGACCACCGCCGTTCTCCACTATAGCAACTCGATCGAAGTCCCTGCTACACCGTTGCCAGGAGGGCCTACGGTGGAGGTTGACTGGTCTCTCAACCAAGCCAGATCATTTCGGTACATTCCTGCACACTGATTCTTAGTTGCTCTTCTCTTGAGTTGCGTATCAAGATATTAGTCCTATATCGGAAGTAGGCAAAGACTAAGATTGGCTTATAAGGGTCTGATGAGTGTACTACGATAATTTCAGCTTAAACATTTTGATCAGTGGTTTGGATTAAACGGAGTTATAAGTCAATTAGCACATCAAACTCGGGTCGTGACAATACTAGAATTGTGTCAACTCGATATTAAGTCTATATAAACTTTTGTTCTGATTCGAATTCTCGGATATGGTTTCCATGTTATGTTTCCTGATGTATTCATTTTCTTAAATCAGATTAAATCTGACAGCAAGTGGGCCAAGGCCTAATCCACAAGGATCATACCACTATGGACAGGTGAACGTCACCAGAACCATTAGGCTTGCAAACTCTGCACCTATCATCAATGGCAAGCAAAGATATGCTGTCAACAGTGTCTCCTTCGTTTCAGCTGATACTCCTCTGAAGATTGCCGACTTCTACAATATCTCTGGAGTTTTCACGCTTGGAAGTATACCTGATAATCCAACCTACGCTGGTGGCTATCTCCAGACTTCAGTCATGGCAGCCAACTTCAGAGACTATGTGGAAATCATCTTTGAGAACGACGAAGATTTGGTGCAGTCTTGGCACATTGATGGGAATTCCTTCTTTGTCGTTGGGTAAGAACATTAGTAGGTGTTTGACATCTCTTATGGTGCCATGACCAAACTGAACCTGGCGATGTGCAGAATGGATGGAGGGCAATGGACATCAGCAAGCAGGGACTCTTACAACTTACATGACACTGTATCGCGTTGCACGGTGCAGGTAACAAGTTCGAAGATCAGTAATGTTCGAGTCCTTGTCAACATTATGTGAAGCTACTCGAATAATTGCGACCATGGTTAATTTTTCTGTACAATGTTAGTCCTAAGTTTCTCGTAGTTTTTCGTTGGATTCAAAAACACTTCAAACAATTTTGACTTGAGATGCAAAATGCTACTCTGATCATGTTCCCTAGCAGAACAAGACTCGAAGAAAATGCATGCAGCCAAAAAATCTTGCTGTTTTAGAGATCATATCCTCGATTTCTTCATGCAATATGTAGATTTGCTCATCAGAATTTGCATTCTCCTGCACTGACTTCTCTCTTTTCAGGTGTATCCGAGATCATGGACTGCAATATACATGCCTTTGGACAATGTAGGCATGTGGAATGTGAGATCGGAGAATTGGGTTAGGCAGCATCTCGGTCAGCAGTTTTACCTCCGTGTGTATTCTCCGGCCAATTCATGGAGAGATGAGTACCCCATCCCGAAGAACGCACTGCTCTGCGGCCTGGCGTCAGGCCGCCGAACTAGACCACTCTGATGCATTTACGGCAGAGCACACAAGTTCTGAGAGATCTAAGAAGTGCAGCAAGCAAGCAAACAAACATATCAAAGACTTGAAGTTGACTCACCATCTCTATTCAGCTTCTTGTTTTTTGTGTTTCATTCAGACAAACTTTACATCTTTCTCAGCCTAATTTGATTCCAAGAATTTATGGAATGTTCATGCCTTCTGTGACGTTTGCATTGCTGCCAAAATTACAACCTAATAACTCGAGCATTGGCTACATCAAATAAAAATGTTGACAATGGTTGATAGAACTTTTAGAAATCTGTGGCATACTGCTCAAGGAAATGACACAAAAGGCTCCAGTTTTTTTGCTTTCTGGGATAATGTCAAGCCAAGCAAAGCAATTATGCATCATGAAGCTTCTTCCTTTGTCCTGGAACAAGTACAAAAACCACAGTAAAACAGCTTACATGATCTTGTCCTACCTGTTCTTAAAGGTTGCAGGAAACACTAGCAGAGATATACTGAATCTTTAGGTTGCATTCGACAAGTTTTTTGTGTTCATCTCGCATAAACATACCCAAAAAAAGTCAGGATGGATCTCTCTCTGAAATTAAACAAAGGTAAAACATTTTGCTGTCTTATGATTAGTCCCTCTACATTAAAATTCATGAAGAATGTGTGATGCAAAAGAACATGTCAAGCTATTCAGATTCACTCACATCAATGGATAAAAAAGATGCAGAATGCTGATGGAAGGAGAGAGCTTGCGATAGAGAGATTACCTGATACCACTCCGAGCAACGAACGTGATATTGGCACGGCTCAATTAAAACAATAGAACTTCTAGTAAGACAGAAGCACTACTTTCTAATTGAACCGGGCCAACATCTCGTTCCTCCGACCTCAAGATCTTGAGACGGGAGCGGAGAGAGGGGTGCCGGAGGAAGGTGACGAAGGCTTCTCTAATAGAACGAAGGGGATGGAAGCGCATTGAATGTGCAACCACCAAACAAGGAGGAGGTTGGAGAATTAATGGAAATCTGCAGCAGCGGGGGTGCATTCCTGCCGCAGGATGTGATTCCCGGATGGATTTATTGGCACATTAATGGCATCAAGCACGGGATGTTGGCTCCTGTCACCTCCTCCAGATTTTGAAGAACATGCAGCACTGTGCATGGATGCACACTTCCTCACTCTGCTGCTTCCTTTCTCCTTTCTCCTTTCTCCAGCTTTCGTCCTATGTTTAACTGCTATTGATTTTGCTCTGTCGCAGAACTCAATTCCGTTTCGGAAAACAGTGCCGCTCGTTCATGTCAAACGCCGTGCCACGAGGAAGCCATTGCTGGGAAGTTTTGATTCAGAACATTACTTTACTGGTGATGTTAAAGTATGCAAAATCTGATCCAGTTTTAGCAAGCAATACATGTTAAATTTTAGGACAATTAGTCCTAATCCTAATCATATTAAGTAAAATATTTGTTTAGCATTGGTTTATAATAGTATGAGATATGAGAATCAATACAATCAAATTGCTTAGTGATAATACCACATAGAACTTTTAGGTTTGATATCCAATGCAATTTCAATAAGCTTGAAACTTGGATACTTCTCCATTCAACAGGCTCACTATTTCAATGTCTATATGTGGATGAATGATCACAAACAAGCAGCCATGGAATTGTTTGAGATCAAAGTTCATCATGTTAATCTTTTCAGTGTGAGATGAGATTTTGAATCCTTAATTGAAATGAATGATTAATGCATGGATACAACAAAGGAGCTGTCAAACTGATCCAAACCTAAATGCAGTAGCATATTTACCTGTACATCTGGAATTAGGGCAACCCTAAATCCCACGAGCAAAGAAGATAGATCTCGTTTTAGGATGACAGGGACGGATAGTTACGACCAAATCCATGAAGCGGAACGCCATTGTTAGGACATGTCACAGATCGATGGATAATGGCGACAGCTTCTGACTTAGCTCGTCGTCACCTCTATATATAAGCATGCATCCGTCAGGTCAACTCAAACTCATCGAGGAGCCTCTCTTCTCCTCGTCATCTCCTTCCTTTCTCTTGCTCGAACCGCGAAGAGACAATGGCGGGCGGCACGATCGTGCTCACGAGCGGCGCCAAGGAACACCCCGGGAAGATGACGCTCTTCGTCTTCCTCACTTGCCTCGTCGCCTCCTCCGGCGGCCTCATTTTTGGCTACGACATCGGGATTTCAGGTGATCCGATTGGCTCCGAGACGTAATCTAGACATGGATTTGGTTTGGTTGGGACGTGATCTAATGCGGGGGGTTTGAAGGTGGAGTGACATCCATGGACTCGTTCCTCTCGAGATTCTTCCCCTCGGTTTACCGGCAGCAGATGGCGGACTCGAGCACCAACCAGTACTGCAAGTTCGACAGCCAGCTGCTGACACTCTTCACGTCGTCCCTTTACGTGGCGGCGCTGATATCGTCCTTCCTTGCGTCGACGGTGACGAGGGTGTTCGGGAGGAAGTGGTCCATGTTCGCTGGTGGGATCACCTTCCTGCTCGGCTCCGCCATCAATGGCGCCGCCGTGAACGTCCTGATGCTCATCCTCGGCCGCGTCCTCCTCGGCATCGGCATCGGCTTCGCGAATCAGGCGAGGGCTCACTCCATGACGAGGCCATGAGAGAAGCAGAGAGCAAGCTGCATGCACTCTTCTTGACTTGGTGGTTTGGTGTTGGTGTGCAGTCTGTGCCGCTCTACCTCTCGGAGATGGCGCCCGCGAAGCTCCGGGGCATGCTCAACATCGGCTTCCAGCTGATGATCACCATCGGCATCTTCGCCGCCAACCTCATCAACTACGGGACGGCGTCGATCGAGGGTGGCTGGGGATGGCGCGTCAGCCTCGGGCTCGCGGCGGTCCCGGCCGTCATCATCACCGTAGGCTCGCTGGTCCTGCCCGACACTCCCAACTCGCTCATCGAGCGCGGCTACGACGAGGAGGCCAAGGCCATGCTCCGCAAGATCCGCCGCACCGAGGACATCCAGGCGGAGTACGGCGACCTCGTCGCCGCTAGCGCGGAGGCCAAGAGCATCGACCACCCTTGGTCCAACATACTACAGCGCAGGTACCGGCCGCAGCTGTGCATGGCCATCCTCATCCCCTCCTTCCAGCAGCTCACCGGCATCAACGTCATCATGTTCTACGCTCCTGTGCTCTTCAAGACCATCGGCTTCGGCAGCGAGGCCTCCCTCGCGTCCGCAGTCATCTCCGGCATCGTCAACGTGTTCGCCACCTTCGTCTCCATCGCCACGGTCGACAAGCTCGGCCGCCGAAAGCTCTTCCTGCAAGGAGGCACCCAAATGCTCGTGTCTCAGGTAACCCTCACTCTTCTTCTTCTTCTTCAAGACTTCTCGGATCGAAGAGATCATGAATGACTGACGCACAACCCGACATGGTCGGTGGCGCAGCTGCTGGTGGGAACTCTGATCGCGCTAAAGTTCGGGACCAGCGGGGTGGCCACGGACATGTCGACCAACTACGCCAGCATCATCGTGCTCTTCATCTGCTTCTACGTCGCAGCCTTTGCGTGGTCATGGGGGCCGCTGGGGTGGCTGGTGCCCAGCGAGATCTTTCCCCTGGAGATCCGGTCAGCAGGGCAGAGCATCACCGTCTCCGTCAACATGCTCTTCACCTTCATCATCGCGCAGGTGTTCCTCACAGCGCTCTGCCACCTAAAGTTTGGCCTCTTCTACTTCTTCGCCGGTTGGGTGGTGATCATGACGGTCTTCGTCGCCCTCTTCCTGCCCGAGACCAAGAACGTGCCCATCGAGGAGATCGTCCTCGTCTGGAAGAAACACTGGTTCTGGGGCAAGTTCATCTCCGACGACGACATCCACGTCGGAAACCTCGAGGTGGCCAAGCACACAATCGAAGCTGCATGAGAGAAGTGAGCTGCGGACATATCGTTGTCGACTTGTCCTACGTAAATGTATGTCAGTCACAGTTGCAATAGGACTCGATTAAGGCTTCAATTCTCCCTATCGATACATATCATACGTATTGACGACGATAGTAATTACGATAAGACTCGGCTGACGCCTCACGTCTCGATCGACGCAATAGCATCCGGTCAAACGGACCAGAACATCGACCGAGGCGCATTAATGCCTACTCAGGTTCGGTTCTTCATGCCATGCCAACAGTAATGTCAGACGCTACCAGCCAGCCCCCTGCAGGTGGGCACATCAAACAACAGTAAGCTTCCCTATAAATACCCTCTCGTTCATCAGGAGGAGGGGGGAATAGACACAAAAACATTTCTTCATCTGAAACCCCCTCTACATCATCTGACTTGATCGTCGGAGGGGTCGAGCCGAGCACCCCGACCCGACCTTTATACAGGTGCGAAGCCGAAGGTCCTCACCGGACGCGCAGGCGAGGAGTTCCTGCTCGGAGGAACAAGCGACTCCGTCTCGATCGGACACCGCACGCGACCACCTCAACGGACTCGAAACTCGTCACGGGAAGATCCCCCGTCATCCGGACCCGAACCGAGCCGCGTCGGCCCCGAGACCACGGCTCCAGGTTGTTTACCACAACACGTATCATTTGATGTCCTCTAAGGTCTAAAAGTATTCTAATTTCATACTGATTGATTACTAATTGATTCGATTGGATGATTTCGCTCCATCTTACAATCGCCAACTCACCATATTACCAAATAACATCGATTGATATATTCCCCTAATGTTACGCTTTCATATTATCCATCATGCCATATATATATATATATATATATACAGAGAGAGAGAGAGAGAGAGAGAGAGAGAGAGAGGCTCTCTTGTTTTGCTTTGCGTGCTTCTGCTTGTGCCTTGTGGACTCGGAAGATGATACCGCCGAGGAAGAAGAAGACGAGCATGGGGCGCCAAAGGATCGAAATCAAGCGCATCGAAAACGAGGAGGCCCGGCAGGTCTGCTTCTCGAAGCGCCGGGCCGGTCTATTCAAGAAGGCCACCGAGCTCTCCGTCCTGTGCGGCGCCGAGATCGCCCTCGTCGTCTTCTCACCCGCCGGAAAGCCCTTCTCCTTCGGCCACCCGTCCGTAGACTCCGTCGTCGGCCGCTTCCTCTCCGGCGGTGCGGCGCCAACTCCTACCCCTGTCGTAGACCACCGGATGGTCCCGGCGCGGGCTTCGCTGGTCCACGAGCTCGACCGGCAGTACCTCGAGCTCGGAGAGCGGCTGGCGGCGGAGAGGGCGAGGAAGGACGCGCTGGAGGCGGCCTTGAGGGGGCGGTGGGGTTCCACGGCTGGCCTGTTGGACGCGAACCTGGAGGAGATCGGATTGGTGGAGCTCGAGAGACTACGGGAGGCGCTAGAGCGGCTGCGGTGGGACGTGGCGATGAGAGTGAATCAGCTGGTGATCGAGGTGCAGACAAGGAGCGTCGTCATGGCGGGGGACGCGGCTGCAGGTGGCTTCGTTGGGGGATTCCTTGCGGCGGCGGAGGAGGGCGTGGTGGCGCTTCCTCCTCAACATGGTTTTAGCTATGGATACGGAGGTATCTTCTAAGGTAGGAATTGGGTGTCTCTTGAAATAAATAAAAGAACGAACGTTATTTACTTGTAATAATGTAGTTTTATGATATATGAATTCTGTCCATTATTTTAGCTTCTATTTCTGAGTTGCTGATGCTAATCTGAAAGTGTCTCTTGAAAGAAAAGGATGAATGCCATTTACTTGTAATCATGCAGTTTTATGATATATGAATTCTGTCCATTAACAATATCTCCTATTGTTCTTAACTTCTATTTCTGAGTTGTGATGCTAATCTGACTAAAAGTGCAGCGAGCGAAGACAGAAAAGTATATGATAACTTCTATTTTTTTTTAATATCATTGAATGTTTTTTAAAAATTAAATATATTATTTTAGAAGTTTTTTTTTAAGAAATAGGTTAAGATCAGCAAAATTAGCAAAAAGAAGTCGTTGACTTTCTAGTCAATATAATGTGATCCAAACCTATATGCACAAGGTTGTTTGAAGTACTTTCGAAATGAAAACATCGAGCTCTCGATATGTCAACTATACGAAGATCGAGGTTACGAGAGGTTTTTTAACTTAATCCTTTTGATGTCCAAGTTGAGAACCCAAGATATATAAGATAGCCTTTAATCACCTTCAACATCCTCCCACTGGTCTCTTATTCATGTGGGCGATAGGAGGGTGGGGCAACCCATAACTGTCTACTTTGGACCCTTGCTTACATGGACACAGGTGGTGGGGGGCCTCTATTTGCTCCTTTTACCTCTGACACCACGTGGCGATCACATGTTGGATAAAGATTTGTTGATGATGTACTCTATATAATTTCTCCCCCCCTCCCCAAGGTATGCTTTGGGGCTCTCATAAGAGGAGCATGAAGTGTGGCTTCTAGTTCATTTAGCATGTCAAGCTTATACCTCTTCAATTCATCGTTGACTTAGTGGCACATCTAGTTCATTGTGCTCGAGCGCTACTAGTAGCGATCCATCATCAACCTACTTCTTGTATTATCGAGGGACACACCTTGGTCGAATGGAGTTAGGTTTCCTAACCTCATTGTCTGTTATTGAACCTTCACGCCTCTAGCAAAAGTAGGGGTTAGGTTTCCTGACCTTCCCATCTTTGGTGAAGGTGAGAGTCAGGCTTCCCAACCTTCATATCCTGGTATAAGGCAGGGGTTAAGTTTCTTGACCTCCATGCCTCAACGAAGTGGGGGTCAGGTTTCTCGTTCCCCATGTCTCAACAAAGCAGGGGTTAGGTTTTCTGATCTCCTTGCCTTGCAAAGGTGGGCATTGGATTTCCTGACCTCCTTGTCTTCAGCAAAGATAAGGGTTGAGCTTCTTGACCTTCACGCCTCGGCATAAGACGAGGGTTGGGTTTCTCGACCTCCACACCTCGACGAAGCGGGGGTTGAGTTTCCCGATCTCCTTTCCTCGGCAAAAGCAGGGGTCGAGTTTCCCAACCTCCCTATCATTGGTGAATGTGAGGGTCGGGCTACCTAACCTTCATGCCTTGGCATAAGGCGAGGGTCAAGTTTCTTGACCTCCTCGCCTCAAGCGAAGATGAGGTCTATATATCTTTTCTCTTTACGTGAGGACCTCGTTTCTGTCCTAGGTGCCCATATCTTTTTTTTTAATTTATAGGCCTCCAGGCTAACAAGCTACGTTGGGCAATGGCCTACCCACCTTAAGTAATGGAAGGGTTGATGCCTCATGATGTGATAGGTTTTTTATTACGTGGGTCATATTTTTTTAACTCATACACACCTTATGCATATTTTGTCTTATGCCTCCTGTTATGAGGTTTTCTTCTTACGTAGTAGTATTTATACTTGTCTCTTTTCACCAAGTGGGTCTTCATCGAGTAAGGGTCTTTTAAGAGCTTATTGTCTTTTATCTATAGAAAAACTTCAACTCTAGTCATAATTAGGTGGGGCAACTCAAACCTTGGGTGAGGTAACTCAGGTCATTCATTTCTTCTTTGCAATGACCTCAGGGTCAGGGCTAATTGTGATAACTTATGCTTCAACTTCTTATGTGACTCCTCATACTTACTTGAGACCATTGGCTCGATGATGTCTTGATTGACCCTTTGAAGTATCTTTGGTATAGTTGCTGATGATCTCTCTATCAATGACAAGAAGAGGCAAGAGGACTTTGAGTCTATCATGAAGGTCTATATTATGAGTGACAGATGGGCATCTAGCATGTATTGGATCTCTCTCGTGAATCAAGTGATGAAGTCTGCAAGTGTTTCCTCCTCCCTCTACCTGAGTCTAAGGAGACTTGCCACTTATGGTCACGGGTATACATTCTTGGGGAAGTGAAGTTTGAGCTCTTTCATGAGTTGGGCAAAAGAACTAATAGAAAAGCGACTTTAGGTAGATATATCATTCTCATGTTGGACCTCTTAACGTGGTCGAGAAAGTATGGCACATCAGGGCATTTGAAATGTCATACAATGTAATCTATCAGGTTGGCATTGCTATTGAATGCCTCGAGAGGCAAAAGTTCATCAGAATTGATTCTTCCTGGATTTTTTGTGTGAACAATAACCAACCCAAGGTGGGGACAACCAACACTTACTATTTTGATTGTTAGAACTCTCGTTACATCTCCTCCAAACATCAATCCATTTACCGTAATTGAATATATATGGAATCCTTTATCGAATCTGCCGATTAGGCTTTGAATTTAAGTAGGGTAGAGTAGTGGTGTGATCGCCAAATTCTACGATTGGAGACTGAAATGCCCCATCGACCAACAGTTCGATAAGTCTCGGGCTCTCCTGGGATGTCAGCACTACACTAGGTTGGGGAATCTCTATGGGTGTCGGTGTTGATTGGGGTGGAGCCGATGATGATAGCTTAGCTTGTGGCATTGCCTATTGGGTTAACTAAGGCAAAAGCAAAGTAATGACCTATACCATACCTGTTACCATCTGCACTTGTTGAGTGAGATTTAAAAACAACTCGACGGAAATGAGCAGGTGGATCAGGGTCATCTTTGAGGGTGATAGACCTAGGTTGTTGAATAGATGCTAGTATCTCATCGGCGTATGCATCAAAGTGGATGCACCCATGTACAAAAAGGGTGGTTGTTACCTCCCTTAGGTAAAAGTACTATGGGTCGAGGGTAAAGCCTCTTCGCTCAAGCATTTATTGAGAGGGTCAACGAGTGATTGTTCCTATGATATCGGACCCTCCTTCTAGTGCCAAAAATGTTGAGGGGAGAAGTCATTGATGTCTTGATCAACCTGACATGGTTTGGACCCATATACATAGAATTATCCAAGATACCTCCGAGGTGAAAACACTGAGCTCCCAATGTGCCACCTACATGAAGACCGAGGTCGAGAGAGGTTTCTCGACCTAATCCCTTCGACACCCAAGTTAGTAACCCGAGATATATGAGTATAGATGCAAGTGGTCAAAAAAGGTAACCTCTCCCTCGCCCCTCTTCATTATGTTGAAGATGAGCTTTTACACTTGATCGTAAAGGGACAAAATATTTTATGAAATATTCTACAATGAGACATACCTACGACAGCCTCTCTTTAGCCTCTTGTCCACGTAGACAACAAGGAGGTTAGGGAACCTATAACTACTTGCCCTAAACTCTTGCCGACGTGAGCAAACGAGTGGAGAGTGACCATTATCCTCTCCTTCCATCTCGGATACCACATAGTAGTTGATCAAATAAGGACAATTATAGTTCGAGATTCAATACTACTACTACAATAATAATAATAAAATTATAATTTTTAACTATTTACGATCAAGTATATATATATTTTATGATTACTAACCTCTATAAAAAATATATATTTAATTAAATTTAAATTATTATTTATATGTAAATCTTTTTATGTATATTAATTATCAATTAAGATCCATATTCATAACATTTATAGTTTTAGGCTTAGTTGCATGATACAACAAAACCTTCCATCTTTTTCATATACTATACGATTCAGATTCACGTTAACCGTATTATTCAAGGTTGACTCAGAAAAAACACTATGGAACATTTTCATTATTTTAGCAATGTTCCAAGTTCTATTTTGTATGAAATAAGAAATAATATAATCAACAAAGTAAAAGTTCATGTTCAAACATCAAGTATCGTAAAGCAAACTCACCCTCGCTAAGTTGACCCATAGCTCGAGTGATATCGAGTATTCCAAAGGGCAACACTTTAGAACACTCGAAGAAGATGTAATCATGCACATCATAACCCAAAGAAGAACATTTCATGGAGATCTCACCAAGCATAAATAATTCACAATCAGTAGATGCAATATGATTCAGTGTAGCAAAAGACGCTGGAAAGACGACAGGTAGCAAGATTTTACATTTCATTCGAATCTTGATGACAAAGAACACCCACACAGAACACACAAAATTTTCAACTAATTTACCAAACACTCTTCGTGAGCAGATGATGAGTAAATTTATTTCTTGTACCCCTTTTGTGAAGAACTCACAAGTCAGCCTGTAAATGGTAAATGGATACAAGCTGGGAGGAAAAATTATACATATGAACCCCATCGTTGCTACAAATACATCTACGAAACTAGTATGAACAGGGGGAAATATAGTTTGTTCGTCAGCTTTTGTTGTGCAAGAATTTGCTAGCTTGGGAGGCAAGTATGACGGATTTGGCACTTGAGCTGTTCATTAGGTACTCCCTCTCTGCTCGTCGCCTATGTTGCCTTGCATTTTTTGCTCTCTTTGGAGCCAGCCTTGCATCCCTCTCTAAGAACGCAAGCCTGAATCGTTCGGCCATGGATAGTTCAGGGGTATCATCACAGGCAGTGGGTGCAGGTGCAGGAGGCCTCCTTGTAGCACCAGAAACAGCCCAGGTCTTGGGATCAATGCCATCAATTATGAAATGGTCCAAAGCTTTATTGGCTAATGCTTCTTTGGGAACTTGTAACCCACGGAAGCCAAGAGGCAAAGGTTGCGGATTGACAACAATTCGAGGACATTCAACAGCTAACGATTCCTTTGAATCATCATCTATTTTT